CTACGCGGTAAAACATCGCCGCGTGCAAGTTCGCCGAATTTCATGGCGGTTCACGAAAAATCGCCGCGATGTATCGCCGTAATTTACGGCGAATCTTCAGCAATAATTGTATTAGAAAGTACTACTTGGTCATTCCCGTGGTCTTTAATTTTGAAAACTTTAAAAAAATCTTGTAAATGTCATGTATATCTATAAATATTTAGCATTTGAACATGTACAGCGTATACATTTTGTATACTAAAACAAAGCAATCAGGTGCTAGTGAAAATTAGTTAACAATAAAACGAGATTGAAATTACAAAAGGTAATTGGTACTACATCAAAGAACGCACGATAACAAATTGTCCAATTGTTATTTTGATAATAATACAAATGTAATTAAAATCCATTATTTACTTTCGCACATATTCTATTTTTAGAACAATGCAAAGCGACATTTAGCACCGATTCACAGGTGTAACTAATTATTAACGTCTAATACGCTAATTATGATTGTTGAAAATTGTAAAAGTTTTATCACTTAAATTGAGCTGAGACATTCTTTACCTTCAATTTCACGAGTAAAAAATGCCAGGTGCATGAGTAGGTGATGAGTAGCAAGATGCAAATCAGGTTTTTTTATTTCCGCCAAATTCGACCCAAAAAATTCCCTCGAAAACAAAAATAAAATCGCAGTTAAATCACACATTTAATATGTAAAGTAACGAGGGCATTCTGTGCATAAAATTAGGGTGTTACTATTTAAAGTATTTAATTACATAAATAGCGACCAACCAGGGAAGGATATTTTCCTTACGTCACACAGTACTGCATGGTCACTAGTTTACCATGTGGTAATTTTAATGTGCTTTGGGGTACATGTTCGTTTGTTTATGACTGACGACACAGATTAAATACTAAGCCCATGCACGGATTTATATTACTATAAATCGACACAAGTATTGCACAATATCTTCAAGATCATAAAAATGTAAATAAAATATCACAATCAAAATGCACTTACGATTAATAATATGTCAATAATTGACACAATCAATATCCAACATTTTTTTTTACTTGAGCAATAATTAAACATGTGTAATCATTCCTTGACAAAAAGAAATGACAGTTTTTTTCTGATATATAAAAAAGAGGTGGAAGTCAATCGAGTGTCGGCATTTCTTTGATGATTCGGCAACAACTACAGGTGTGTAAACATCAAAGATTCACAGAATCTTTAGAAGAGCCGACCAGTCATTTGTCAGAGGTCATTTCGTGTGTAAATTTTGTATTTAGTATTTAACAATGGAAACATTAAGTTCCTTTTATTTATGGATGCTTCTTTTTGCGCGAGTGTTTTTGTGTCTTTTAGCGCTATGGAATTTCAACAATCGGCGATAATTTTCGGTAACTAACAATTAAATATTTTAACATTTTTAAAACGGGTGCAAATATCCGCCATTCAGAAATTATAGGAGACAAATCTTGCGTGTGTTATTTTTTACAGACGTGTAATAAATTGAGTAATGATCACCCGAGAGAACGAAATGTCCCGGTGATCCACTATAACTCTTCCAGGTCGTACGGGAATATTTACGCAGGATTAGTTTATCACATCGGTAATTTGACCATGCTTGAATTTATGTCTTATGTTTTCTTGATACAACTTCATGTAGATCTACTAATTAATTTTCGTACTTGTACATGTATATCTGGTTTCAAGTTCACAGAGTACAATTTTATAAATAGATCTACATTTATTATACAAATGAACATGTATTATTCCCCGCGAATCACGGCAAATGTTCACGGCAAAATCGCCGCAAGTTGAATTCGCGGCGATTGTCTCAAGTTGCCGCGAATTCGCTCGCGTTATAAAGCATGAGAGTTCGCCGCGAATACGCGAATTGTGCGGGTTTCGCGTGTCCAGTACTGTATGGTAGGAGAAGGCCTTAAAATCTGTAAATAAAAGCATATTAATTACTAAACATTTAAAGACTACAATGGTTTTTAGTAATCTCAAAAATTCAAACATACAATAACATTGCTCAATGAAATGAAATATTCAAATATTGACAATTACAATTTTTATAAAATGAATTAATGATGTATATTTATGGATAAGTCATTGATTTTAGGGATACTTTTACTTATTTCAAAGTGTCAAGCGTTGCTATTTTATGATAAATAATTTATGCATGATATTTGAAATAAAACTTTAAATTATCTTGTTGTTTATATCTTTTGAGACCTATTCTATTTAATTATTTTATTTAGTTACAAACTATTTCTCCCTGTTTTTTTTTGTAAGAATCACCTGACTACACGTTGTATGTTATTGTTATAAAATCTATTAATAGTAACAGATGGCTGATAAGACAGACATACATGTACAGGTAAGGCACAAGGTGTAGAAGCTGATAAAGTGCCAACAAAGTATTTTTGTATGAATAATGACCCAAAATTGAAAAGCCTTTAAACCCCTTTCACTCAAATCGGACTGAGAATAGCACAAACATATGATTTTCAATGTATTTTTTGTATATTTCTTGGTTATATTTCATTTGTATTTCTGTTTAAGTGCACATGTCTATGTGAAAAAATAAAATTTTATGTTTTTAGGCTTATAAACCTCAGTTAAATGTAAGAGCATTGTAATTGTCTAAAGCCAACAAGGAATTTAATCACGATTTTATAAAGAAATATACCTCATATTTGTAATAGTTGTTAAAAGTATTTGTCATTCATTCTACTTTTCAAAGTCTAATTTCTTGTTTTATTTTTAGTTTATTTTAATTCACTTTACTCAAATTACAAATATGACATAAGTGTATTATTGCTGTGCATATTCAAACAAATTGGGAATCAATGTGTTTTAATATAAATATCTTCTTGTGACTATCTGACTATTCAATATTAAAAATCAAACAAAGAAACTTTACCAGAACAGCGATGCAACCTACTTGAGATGTTAAAATTTGCAAATATATTAAGACACATTTAGGACATATTTCTTATCTATTATTACAGGGAAGTCAAAGGTTTTGGCTTACCCGGCTATAGACTACACGTGTATATTTGAAAGGAAATCAAATAAAAAACAATTAAAAAATATATAGAATTCTATACCTAACAATGACATTTTCAATGCCAGTTTTCTAGCTGGGCGCCGCCATTTTCAATGTAACTCAATGATAAAAGGTGAGGTATTCCAATAACGGACAATCCCAACTTTTCGGATTAATAATAATCATTTAGTGTTCCGAGTGAAAACGGAAGTGGTGCATGAAATACCGAAAGACACTGAGCTTAAAACGGAAAAAATAAATGATTTTTAACTGACTTCCCCGTTCACAGGCTTTGCCTAATTTCATATTAGTTTTTATGTTCATGTATGGATTCCGGGTCAGCTCGGCCCTAAAACGTACTCAGCCCCCGAGTCAGCTCGGCCCTATTCCAACTCGGCCCACTTTTCAATTATTAATATATATATAATACACAAATTGACAGTTTCCGAACTAGCAGCAGACAGGCTTTTCTTATGAGTAGAATTGCAAGTAAAGATCACCGTTTGCGTATCTCACTGTATTTCTGAATCGTGGTAGGTTTAAAATTAAATACTTATTATCAAATTGATAATATCAATCAGGGTGTATGTTGAGGATACTGTTTAATTAGGTGATAATTATGATTGACGCATTTATTCAAATTTGATAAGTGGCCACCTGCAATTAATAAGAAGCTTATAATATTAAGTAAACACGTTTTTGTTTCATATTTTTAATATTAGATCTACTTTACAAAAAAAAAATGCATCTAAGATTACAATGTAGATCTATATTAATTTTATCGAATCTGCGACACAAATAAATAACATTTTTTTCTAAATATACTTTATTTCGGCAGAAGTACAATGTATTTAAATATATAATAATAATAAGATCTTTCTTATTATTTATTTACTTTAACAAAATGCAAAGCAAAGTTAATACGTTATATATATTTTTGTAAAGTGGGCCGAGTTGACCCGTGCCGAGTTGACTCTTTTCCCAACTATGTATGTTCATTATGACTGTCATGTTTCCTTTTTGTAAAAATCAAATACATGTATTTGTATTATCATGGATATAATTTTCATGAGATATTATAATAAAGTTGTTGAAATTATAAACATCCTTTTCATCATTGAGAATATGTAACTTTTTTTCACATCCATTTGTGTAAAATACACCACCAAAAATGGGGTGGGTGTGTGTGAAGTGTCTCAATCAAATTTCAGTGAAAGAGGGGTGAAGTGTCTGTAATGTCCTGAAACAATCATCACTTTCTTGATGCTATTGCTTATACCAAAACATGTTTCTGTGCGAGTAAAGTAAACAACAGCCATGAACTTTAGTATTTTACAACATAAACATAAAATATGAAGATGAAAACACATGTACCGTGGATTAAATGATGACAATTTTGAAACAATATGGCCGACACTGGTTGTTGTATTGACCTTTTTAGATGGAATTTAATAATTCTCATCTGGGGAAGTTGCTGTGATGTTCAAGAAAAATTTATAGAATAAACAGGTGAACAAGTAATAACGTTTGAACAGTTTTCATATTTTTTGTTCTTATATCACTGATAAGGATAGCGATTTAAGAGAAAAGATTACATTTCCACTATACTGTATGCAACATAAAGCCATATTGACAAAATGAGTTCAGTGTGCTTACGAGTCGCAACTACTCCATTAATTGTACATCGCAAGGTTTTAAATAGCACACAAACATTCAACAAATTATAAACATTTTACCTTTGAACTGCAAAAACCTACACGTATTCCTCCACTCTGTTTTACCGGAAGTTTGAGAAAAGATTACATTTCCACTCTATGCAACATAAAGCCATATTGACAAAATGAGTTCAGTGTGCTTATAAGACGCAACTACTCCATTAATTGTACATCGCAAGGTTTTAAATACCACACAAACATTCAACAAATCATAAACTTTCGAAATCCAAAAACCTACCCGCATTCATCCACTCTGTTACCGGAAGTTGAATCTCTTCCCGCGCTAAGTCTGGGTTTGTTCCCCTTAAAGTACGTTATCGGTAGTATAGAAGGCAGGGTACCAGACAATGCAAGCGTGTAGATGATCTAGATTAAGTTGTGACTTAGAGTAAGGGAGACAATGCAATTTTGATTTCGATTTCAGACCGATTTATGCACAATGAAGCTATGACATCTCTGCACATAGTTAACGTATTTACGGGGCATAAATTTTGCGGGTTATTATATAGACCCCGTATTGAATATAGGCCCCACAGAAAAGGTCTAGAATAGACGGGTACCCCGCACATCCCAATATGTATTTGTATATATATATATATATATATATATATATATATATATATATATATATATATATTCAATACTGCAAATAAATTTCACGAAATTTCATTGGTCAAGAGCTAGGATATATGGTGCCATATACACCGTGTGCAGACGGTATATATGAAAGCTGGACGATTTTGATTGGATGGGTAACCGCTTCAGCGGGAAAAACAAAATGGCGGACGCTTCTCGATTCGCAAATTAAATCAACGGATTGTTCTAATTTGAACAAATATTGTTATTAACTGAATATATTTTATACCTAATGTAATCATGAACGTATTCTGACAACCGCACATTTATAAAATTTAGCCTGTATTGTTTTAAATCCCATCATTGTTTTGGCTAACGTCGTCATCTGGATATAACGTCATACCGATATATACAAAGGGCATGACGTCATCTTCGCACATGACGCCAAATGGCGGAAATATATCGTTTTTTTTTGTAAATATAAATGAATAAATATCAACAATACCGGATTTGCAGTATTATAAATTCGTTATATATGTTCTTGAAGAAATATATGGTGGACATATAGCCTGCTGAGATCTATATAACCCTCGGCTATATAAATCAGTCAGGCTATATTCCACCATATATCCCGTCAAGAACCTCTATAACTAATAATATATGTATCAGAAGTCTTAGTATATGGGTCCCTGGGACTCAACATAATATGACCCAATTATTTGAGTTTATATATACAAATGTATATTTAACATAATGACCCAACAGTTTCTTATCCATATATTCAGAGAATATCCTAGCCTATTCTGCTTATTAGGTTACTCCAAACACAGCAATTAAAATATATTTGTACCTGAAATTATGTGCCCCTCTATTCTGGTTCATATACTGATAAAAATTTGTCGGAAGATGGTGCTTCAACAGCATGGTAAACTTGCAGCACAGTAGATACCTCGCAACACTGAGAATCATGGGTTGCCATCATAAGTCATAAGTAATTAGGATTTTGAGTATGGCAACAGTAAATCCATTGAAGTTTAGTTGAAAATGCTTTCTCACAAACAGACTTGATTGGTAGCAGGGCCTGAACCCATGATTCTCTAGCAGTGAATGGCCAGTGCTTCAAATCGGGGATTCTTATCCAATGGATCACTGAGTGGTCCCCAGAACAAGAGAATGAATGGCAAAAAGGAAAACAACAACAATCTTTCAGAACAAATTTATCCAGAAAAAAAGCATAGAAACATTCACAATCAGAGACATATTAACTCAAAGTATTCAATACTAATCTGTTTCAGGTTAAATGTTAGCTTTCAGTTTCAGACGGATCAGCTGGTTATAAAAGCTAACAAGACTTTCCGTTCAATAAATGCCTATGCCCCCATAGGCAGCTTTGTCAATAAAGTTTACATGCAGATGAAGTTGTAAAGCTCCAGGATATATACTGATGCTAAAAGGAAACTGTGCACTTTGATTTTACGGGTTAATATTCACAAATCGTTGGTGTAGAAACGTAAATTTAGTATCGATACTTAGCTTATTTTCTTAGCTAAAAGGTGGCATGATTTTTGAAAAGGTTTAACAGCAAAACAGTAAATGATGTACGTATCGACCATGTAAGTAGTTACAAAATTATTCCAAAAAATAATGTGCATTGTTTCTTTTTAGCATCAGTATATAATCATGTATTTCAGACGATAAATATTTCAAGTTCAAACAATGTAAACATCAATGTAGAACACAAACTGAATTTGAGGATAAGGATGAATAAAATTGAGGATATGGATCAATAATTTAGGCAGCAACTACATTTATCAAAATTTTCTTATAAGAATAAAAGGTTATTCAGTAAGTTTAAGTCTAAATTAAGTATAGGAGTATTACAAGTTAGTTAACCAAGACCTGTAGGTCATTCAAATTAGTCTAAAGTCTAAAATTAGGTCAAGGTCAAACTGAGGATGGGTAATACAAGTTTCACCATTGGTAACAATTAACTAGACGCATTTAACAAGCCAAGTGTTGTAGTGGTAGAAATCAAGAAATAAGTCGAAATTCAGGTCAAGAGTGATGTAGATCCCAGATGATCCAACTACAATCCTAAACTTGATTTCATCAAACAAACATTCTGACCAAATATTATGAAAATTGGATTAAAAATACAGCCTCAATTGTATACACAAGGTTATTTTACGATTTGACCTAGTTTTTGACCCCAGATGACCCACATAAAATCAGAAATTCTGAATAAATCTGTCTAATTTAAGCAGTCAAAGAAAGAAATATTGTTTTGAAAACTGCAGTCCCTTTTAACAAGTCGCCCAATTAATCTCATTTCTTAAAACAAGAGCTGTCAGAAGGACAGCGCGCTCGACTTTTTTAGTGCTTGCCTATAAAACACAACTTTGACAGTTAAGGGCACACAAGACTTTAACTAGGAATTTCTAAGTACAAATCAAGAAACATTTTCACAGAGTTATCTTCTCTTGCTTACAGATAGGTCTCATGATGGCACATAAGAACTCCAACTTCCAAAGTAATATCTCAAATGGTTAAGTCAACAAGTGGACAAGAATGAAAATTTTAACTGAGTTTCTAAGTCAAAAAGGGCCATAATTCAAATAAAATCCTTGACAGAAATACCTTCTCCTGCCCATGTTTTGGGACCATGATGGTAAACAAGTAATCCAACTTTTAAATTAATATCTCAAACAGTTCAGTCAAAAGGTGGACTGGTACAAAAAAGTTAACCAAGATTCTAAGTCAATAAAAGGCCTTAATTTTTAAAACAAATCCCTGACAGAGTTACCTTCTCTTGCGTACAGATGGGGGTAATGATGTGAAATAGCATTAAAAGTTTCAAAGCAATATCTCAAAGGGTTAAGGCAATAAGTGGATTTTACCCATATTCAATGTATTGTCTAAGTAAAAAAGGGGCATAATTCTGTCAAAAACCTTGACAGAGTTATGTCCTCTTGTCTGTTGACGAAGGTCATGATGGTAAGCAAGTATGTTAGTTTCAAAGCAATACCTCCAATGGTTTTGAAATAGAGTGAGGTGGTACAAAAATCTTAACCAAGCTCAATACACTTTTTAAGTAAAAAAAAGGGCCATTAATTCTGTCAAAAACCTTGACAGAGTTATGTACTCTTGTCTGTTGATGGAAGTTATGATGGTGAACAAGTATGGTAAGTTTCAAAGCCATACCTCTAATACTTCTGAAATAAAGTGGGGTGGTACGAAAAACTTAACCAAGGTGTGACGCCAACGCCAACCCCGAGGTGAGTAGGATAGCTCCCCTTTTCATAGAAAAGTCGAGCTAAAAACTGCCAACCTTTTCATGCCCATATTTAGTTGTACAGAGTTTACACCTTAGTTTACATTCCTGTGTAACCTTTTAAACCAAATATAGCACTTTACACCTGATGAATCTTCTGTATTCAGTATGTATAATGGAACTATGAAGAGATTTTTAACATTTGTAAACATCAGAAATAAGCATAATATATCCTTAAGTGTAACCCAAAGAAGATTATGAATAAAAACGACATTTCCCAACGTCCTTCACTCCGTGCATAGAAAATAAATGCATGTGAATAAAGATTTATACCATTTTGACTACGCATACCGGCATTCTCTACGGGTAGAATATGTTCAATGCAGGTTCAATGAAACAAATATGAAACTCGTGTAAAATGTTCTACTCATTGATTTTAGGTTAAGGGAGCGCTGATATAATGATATAGCATAATCTTGTCAATTTTTATGTTTGTACTGGAACTGCTTCTCTTCATGCAAAATAAAGAGCTATTTCGTAACCTCATATCTAACATAATTCTATATTTAGAACACAACAAGATAACCGTGATTGCATGTGACAAACTGAACTTTGATGTATGTAACAAGTAATTTCTTGTGAATTTACATTTGAAAAAGATTTCAAAATCAGTGTGATTTTTGTACGGAAACTACTCGCATACCAGTAACTGTTAAAATACTTTGCTTAAAAAAATAATCAATTAAAAAACAACAATAAATGCTAACTGAAAGATGGCTGGATTCAATGTTTAAATTATTATTTAAAAGAAGTCTTTGTTACTTGATCCAATATTGCTGTCAATTACAATAAGTATTTTGTCTTTTGCTATAACTCTTTTGACTTCCCCATCATTCATTCTTTCTAACATTGGCATTATGGCATGATCATCATTTTCAAGTAGAGAACTATACAGCAATGTACGAGAATTGCACACAAAAAAACCATCACTCCCATTTCGAAGTTTTCTAACTTTACAGTTGCTGGCATGATGCCACAATAGTCTTTTTAGGCAAAACCCTTTACAATATTCACAAGGGTAGTAATCCTCTATAGTGTTTAGACTTGTCTGGACTCTCCCGTCCCATTGTGAATAGGGTACCTTTATTTAACTTCAAAACCTCCACATTATGCTTGTAATTACCACAAGAGCTGAAAACTCTGCAGCTCGCTCTTCAGATCGCTTTGGCAACAGTCTAATTTTGAGAATTACAGCTTGCTCTTTATGCGTAAGCAAATGTCTAGTAAATTTTTGAAGTAAACATTTTTTTTCCCGAAAGTACTTTTAAGGGTTGGGTTGGGAATTTTAAATCAAAGGGCAATAAAAACCCGCAATTTTGAATAAACCACCAAAACAAAATTAAGGTGGGGGAAAAATTTTTCATTTATGCTTGAAACTTTGGGCTATGCCCTGACAACTTTTGGTGACAATTTTTACTTTAAATCAAGGGAATACTTTTGCCAAAAAAAATAGGAAAAAAGCAACCCCCTGGTCACCCCCCCTTTATATACTTTCTTTTATTCCTGTACAGTTTAAAAACTAAGGGGATTTCGGGCCAAAAACAAAAAAAGGGGCAAAATGGGCTAAAATAAAAGGGCCCAAAAACCCCTGGGCCAAAATTAGTAAATCTACAAAAAGATCCCAAAAACCC